CACCCCGGACTGCAACCCAGATCTGAGTACGGGCAAAGCAACAGAGTCCTGCCTTGGTGCTAGCAAATAGACCCCTGTAATCTCATTCTGACCAGTTTTTTGACCCCCTTGTTGTCTATGGGCTAAGAACTCTGGAATCAGCTGCTGCTGCTGCAGATTCAATGGCTTCCAAGGTCTGCTCCTGGTTTTCTTGGGCTGGGTCTATGCTGGCATGGCCTGAGCTAGACTCAGCTCCACTCTAACCCAGGTATGACAGAACTTTCCTATTGACCTTCTAAGTTGTCTTTAGCTGGAAAATTATTTTATCCCATCCTTTTGTGGGTTCTGCTTCTCTAAGGATTGTTTTATGCCATTATTTAAAGGTATTCAGAGGGATTTGGGGGAGAATTAAGGTGAGTCCCTGCTTTTTCTCTGCCATCTTGACACCCCCCCCATCTGCCTTTATTTAACTGACTCCAACCTGTTGTCTAAGACATTTAGAGTGATAAGCCATATTATTCATCAGTTATCAACTCCCCAGGGCAGCCCAAGCTCTTCACCACCACCACCACCACCCTTGCCCAACATGTACAACAGGTGATTACACAAGTCAAGGATTGCTCCCACAGAAACATCTAAAATCTGCTTTGATTTCTAAATGATGCTATATGACAGGCTTCTAAGGCAGCCTGTAAGCATTAGCTGAATTGTAGGGCATAGGTTTGGAGCTCTATATTCTAAGAATTAGTGTGTGGAAAGATGTTTTGCTCTTAGGCCACAACTCTCTGACCAAATTCTTCTTTGTCCTTGCCTTACTTCCTTGTATATTATTCAATTAATTTGTTACCTCAGTGTTATTAACACTGACTTCACTGTATCTATAAAGCAGGGAAACAGCAACAGTACAGGTAACTAGGACAGACAGTGTTCAGAGCATTGGACTTGGAATCAAGATCTGAGTTCAAAACCTGCCTCAAATACTAACTGTATGACCTGAAACAATCTCTTAATGAGCCCTCAGCCCTATTTTCCTCGTATATAAAATGATAATAATAACACCTACTTACCAGGGTTGTTATGAGGGTCAAATGAGATGACATATATAGAGCAATTTATAAATCTTAAAGGACAAGATTAATACTAGCTATTATTATAGAGAAACAAGTGGGCTGGGATTCTTAGGGGAGGAGCCAAGATGGTACAGTGACTTGCTTGAGCTCTCCCCCAAACCCCTCCAAATGCCTGTAAAAAAAATGGCTCTAAACAAATTCCAAAGCAGCAGAACCCACAAACAGACAGAGTGAAACAAATTTCCAGCCCAAGACAGCCTGGATGGTTGATCAGAAAGGTATATCACTCTGGGTGGGGAGAGGATCACAGTTCAGCGTGGGCACACAGGCCGCAGTGACCCTGGAGCAGGCCTCAGAGGACTGAATCACAGGCAGCTGTGGTGGTTTCCAGAATTCTCAATCCATTAAAGCCAAAGACAACTTGGAAGGTCAGTGGGAAAAATCTGTGACAGTGGTGAGAGAAAAGCTAGGTCTCAGCCACAAGTCCTAAGCATGGCCCAGGGCAGCGGCTGCCTCCTGAGCTTTGGCCCATAGACTGAGGGGGAATCCAGTGGCTGATCAGAGGGGGATTGCAGGGATCTCTTTGCCAGTGCTGAGGCAGCAATCTCTCGCTTTGCCTGTGCTTGGATTTGGGTCACAGTTCTGAGGGGTGGTCCTGAGGTGAGGAGGAGCACTGGTGTGGTGGAGCTTGTTGTGGTGGTGGAGAGGAAACACCTCACCCTTTATCATAGCACCTTGGAAGAACTGATACTTTTCAGGTCCCTAGAAGTATCTCTGAAAACAGCTGTACAAACCCCTGAAGCTTGGGACAGTACATTCTCCACATTGGAAGCAGACTCTTACCTTAACAAAGAGTTTAAAACTCAAGTAATTGGCTGGGATCATGAGTAAGCAGCACAAAAAGAGTCAGACTATATTATCTTACTTTGGTGACAAAGAAGATCAAAACATACAACCAGAAGAAGACAACAAAGCCAAAGCTCCTACATCCAAAGCCTCCAAGAAAAATATGAATCAGTCCCCAGGCCTTGGAAGAGCTCAAAAGGGATTTTGAGAAGCAAGTAAGAGAAATAGAGGAAAAACTGGGAAGAGAAATGAGAGTGATGCAAGAAAATCATGAAAAACAAGTCAACAGCCTGCTAAAGGAGACCCAAAAAAATACTGAAGAAAATAACACCTTAAAAAATAGCCTAACCCAAATGGCAGAAGAGGTCCAAAAAGCCAATGAGGAGAAGAATGCCCTAAAAAGCAAAATTGACCAAATGGAAAAGGAAGTCCAAAAGATTACTGAAGAAAATACTTCCTTAAAAATTAGAATAGAGCAATTGGAAGCTAGTGACTTTATGAGAAATCAAGACACTGTAAAACAAATCCAAAAAAAATGAAAAATTAGAAAACAATGTGAAATATCTCATTGGAAAAACAACTGACCTGGAAAATAGATCCAGGAGAGATAATTTAAAAATTATTGGATTCTCTGAAAGCCATGATCAAAAAAAGAGCCTAGACATCATCTTTCAAGAAATGATCAAGGAAAACTGCCCTGATATTTTAGAACCAGAGGGCAAAATAGAAATTGAAAGAATCCACCGATGTCCTCCTGAAACAGAACCCCAAAGGAAAACTCCTCGGAATATTGTAGTCAAATTCCAGAGTTCCCAGGTCAAGGAGAAAATATTGCAAGCAGCCAGAAAGAAACAATTCAAATATTGTGGAAACACAATCAGGATAACACAAGATTTAGCTGCTTCTACATTAAGGGACCGCAGGGCATGGAATATAATATTCCGGAGGGCAAAGGAGATAGTATTACAATCAAGAATCACCTACCCAGCAAAACTGAGTATAATCCAGCAGGGTAAAAAATGGTCATTCAGTGAAATAGAGGACTTTCAAGCATTCTTGATGAAAAGACCAGAGCTGAGTAGAAAATTCGATTTTCAAGTACAAGACTCGAGTGGAACATGAAGAGGTAAACAGGAAAGAGAAATCATAAGAGACTTATTAAGGTTGAACTGTTTACATTCCTGCATGGAAAGATGATATTTGTAACTCATGAGACCTTTGTCAGTACTAGGGTAGTTGGAGGGAAAAAATTATATGTATGTATATAGATAGATAGATAGATAGATAGATAGATAGATAGATAGATAGATAGATAGATAGATAGATAAAGGGCACAGAGTGAGTTGAAAATGAAGGGGTCATATCTGGAGAATAAAATTAAGGGGTGAGAGAGGATTATACTGGGAGAAAGAGAAAGGGAGAGGTAGAACAGGGTAAATTATCTCACAAAAAAAAACAGAAAAAAAGGCTCTTACAATGGAAGGGAAACAGGGGAAGGTAAGAGGGAATGAGTGATTCTTATTCTCATAGGATTTGACTTAAAGAGGGAATAACCTAAACATTCAATTGGGTATGGAAATCTGTCTTACCCTACAGCAAAATATGGGGGGGAAGGGGACAAAAGAGTAGGGGGATGATAGTGAGGAAGGCAGGTTGGGAAAGAGGGTAATCAGAAGCAAATACTTCTGAGGAGGGACAGGGTCAAAAGAAAGAACAGAATAAATGGGGGAGTGGGATAGAACTAAGGGAAATAGAGTTAGTTTTTCACAGCATGTCTACTATGAAAGTGTTTTGCATAACTGCACACGTATAACCTATATTGAGTTGCTTGCCTTTTCAATAAGGGTGTCTGGGGAGGGAGGAAGGGAGAAAATTTGGAACCCAAAGTTTTAAAAACACGTTTAAAAAAAATGTTTTCACATGCAACTGGGAAATAAGAAATACAGAAAATGCGGTATAGAAATCTATCCTACCCTACAGGAAAATAGAAGGGTAAGGGGATAAGAGAAGTGGGGGGAGAGATAGAAGGGAAGGCAGACTAGGGGAAGGGGTATTCAGAATGCATACCATCTTGGGGTGGGGGAGGGGCAGGTTGGGGTGAAAATTTGGAACTCAAAATCTTGTGGAAGTAAACGTTGAAAACTAAAAATAAATAAATTTATTTAAAAAAAGAAAAACAAGTGAGAGGATTGTAATCATTCTGCTATTATTTTATTGGTTTTTATTCTTTATTAAATCAATTTTCATTCATTTGTTGGTTGTTGTGATTTTTTTTAAAATTTTGAATGTATTATTTTTAGGGATTAGGGACATTTCATCATTCATCTGTATAATTGTATCCCTTCTCAATTTACCTAAAATGTATTAACATAGACTTTTTGTGAAAGATTTCTAGTTGTAAAGGTAAAATATTGGTTTTAGAGAATCCTGACCTTTATACTATCTCTTAGTGATCTCATCAATCCAAATGGATTTAATCATCCCCTCTAGACCCAACTCCCTAATCTACCTATCCAGCTCAGATTTCTCTTCTGTGATCTAGTACTGCAGTCACTCTCCTTCCTTCCCTTTGGGCCCCGGCATCCCTAATTTCCTTCAAGGTTCAACTTGGTTGTTGCTTCCTACCCAAAGTCTTTCTTGATCCTCCCCTACCTCCTTCCTGAACCTGCATTGTATTTATTTTGTGTATCCTTTGTATTTACTTGGATACATATACATACACACACACACACACATATGACATATATGGATGGGATGTCCCATATATATATATATATATATATATATATATATATATATATATATGTATCCCATCCATATATACACATATATATGGGAAAGTATTTTGATTTTGCCTTTATATTCCCAGGGTCTAGTGTAGGATCTTGTACATAGTAGGTGCTTAATGAAGGCTTGAGTTGGTCGTTAGATTTTCTGTTCTGGTGTACTTTGATAACTCCTTGTGGAAATGATTGATGAAATTAAAGATCTCAATCACATTTTGTAAAACTAGGACTATGTAAATATGGTGGTATATACTCTCCGTTCTAGGGAATAAAGACCAGTTCTAAAATTATATGTGTCTTTTTTCCCCCCTTTCTTTAGGTGATCCTCCTGCAACTGGCACTGGGACTTTACAGATAAGACTGGAAGATGTGAATGACAATGCTCCTCTCATTTACCCTACACTTGCCAAAGTCTGTGATGATGCCAAAGATCTCAATGTGGTCATTCTGGGAGCATTAGATAAGGATCTCCACCCAAACACTGATCCATTCAAATTTGAACTGAATAAACAAACGGGTTCTGATAAATTCTGGAAAATTTCCAAGATCAATGGTAAGTCCAAAAAACAATCTTTTTTTATTATTATTAGAATTTTGGCCTTATGCAAGTCTTTATTCCAAAGAACTCTGAGCTCTTTCACCAATATGATCCCATTCTTACAATACTATTGCATCATGATCGATATTTACATAAAATACACATTGCTATATTTGTGATTTTTTCCCACCACCAAACAGACCAACAACCTAAGCTCGGATACTACATATACACATTTTATAAAAAACAATACATGTTTATTATCCTATTCAAGTTCTCAAATTTTACTTTGATCTTTTCTATTGTGTACTTTACCTTTTTGACTTGTTTATTTTACATATATTTTGGCTTTAAAATATCTATTCAGTCAGAAAGATTGTATGCCCACAATTGTGATTCTTTGTGCTTTGTCCTTTTTCCTTTTTTCTTTTCATAAGCTACCATAAATCTTTTTTGGTGTAATTTTATCTTGCCTATTCTTCTGTTCCCTATTACTTCTGATAACTTGTTCCAAAAGCTTCCTTGTGTGGTTTATTCAGAGACTAAGTATCACCATGACCTCTTTCCCCTACCATACTCTTCCTCCTTTTTCTCTGATCTAGAAGTCAGCGTATTTCATGACTCCTCTCCCAAAACCTTATGCTGATTTCAGCTAGCAGTTGGTCATATAATACACCACAGGAAACCTCTACTTCTTCATAAAGTTGGAAGGAATTTGAAAGATTATCTAGGCCAATAGCTTTTAACCTGGGGTCCACAATCAGGGGATCCGTGGATAGATTTCAGAGAGTCTATGCTTATGGTAATGTTTTTGTATAATACACATATATGTAAAGTAGATATGTTTATATATATACATATGTATGTGTGTGTCTAATATCACAACATAACATTATGTAACACACAAGGATCTTTATTTTCACCAGGTTTTGGCTTGCTTTATATTTTTATCTATTTCATGTTATGCATTTAAAAACATTTTCATGAGAAAGCTTCCATAGGCTTCATCAGATCGCCAAAGGGGTCTATGACAAAGATTTTAAGAACCCCTGCTTTAGTGTAATCCCTCAATTTTAAAGGTGAGTAAACTGAGGTCCACAGAAGTGGATTAGCTTGCCCAAGATAACACAGGCAGAACAGCTGTTTTAACTCAAGTCATCTGAGTTAAAAATCTAGAACTTTTTCCACTGGCTATTTTATAGATTCATAAGTATTTTAATATCTTCATCTTCACCTCTGTTAGCTTCTTCTTTATGGGTAAGGGGCTTCCTTTGATAATTCCTTGTCTTTCACTCTCTAGATCTTCCTTTCTGAGTTCTTGACCTTTCTCCTTTGTTCTGCTTTCTTCATTTTATTACATCCTCCATGTAGGTCATCCCAACTCTTTCTTTGTTCTGGGTCCTTGAAAGAGACTCAGCTGTGTAAACCTCCCATCTACTGTAATACAATATAGTATGGTTTGCAAAGGCATGTCCTTCTCCCATACAAAAGCATCATACAATTTACTTTTTTAAAGGAGGCACTGAAGACCTTGCCCTGTACACCTGAAACATTGTTACTTACTATACATCACACTCAATCAGGTTCTTGAATCTCATTTCTAGCCAGCTGTTGGCTGTTCTTTATAGCAGATATAACCCTTTCTCTCCCGTAAGAAACAAAAAAAATCATGCGCTAAACTCCAGTTTCCCACTTCCACACTTACAATTCACTCTTACTCTTCCTAGCCTAGATTCACTCTGGTGTACTATTCTAATTAGAACTTCAAATTCATTCTAAGTCAAAGAGTTTCCTATTTTATTATAATTTCTGAAGACAATGGTGTAGGTCCTTAAAACATATTTATTGATTTTGATGATGGTCTAATTCAATGAAGGCAAATAGTGGTTTATAGGTTAGTAAAAAGAGGTTTTACAAGGTATCATGGATGGACAGTTGTTGTCAGCATAAGCTGATCTACCTCTTTTTTTTTTCTTACTTGCATGCAGTTTTATTTCAACAAGGCATCAACTTACCAAGTGGCAAACGATTATTTAGTGCTTAATACATGTTTGGTGCTTGACAAATGGTGACAACAAGCATACATACAATATATTAAATAAATATATATACATATAAACTATATATATGTGCATATATATATATATATGTATAGTTTATACAAAAAGAATGCAAGGGGTTTTGAAGAGGGGGTTCACTAATACTTGAAGTGATCAGGAAAAGCTTCATGTATAAGGTCATGGTTGACCTTAATCTTGAAGGAAACCGGAGATTCCAAGAGGCAGAAATGAGGAGGGAATCTTTCATAGGTATGAGGTACATCCAATTGCAGAGATGAGAAACGGAAGGCTATGTGTGTAAAACAGCAAATGGGCTGCTATTGGTTGGATTGAAAAAAAAATGTGAGGAGGGGAGTAATGTGGGATTACACTGGAGAGACAGGAAAGGCTGAATTTATAATCTAGGTTATATCCTGCCTCAGACACTAACTGGCATGTGTCCTTGGATAAGTCATTTAATCACTGTCAGTTTTAGTCTCTTCATCTATAAAATGGAGTTAATAATAAAGATAGGGCTTATTTAATAGAGTTATTACAAAAATAAAGTGAAATAATGGCATAAAATGCATTTTGCAAGATTCAAAACTACACAGTATATATAATACATGTAACTATGTATATGTATAGTGTATATTCTATATTAGTATATTATGTATATACATACATATATAATATTCTGGATATGATGGCAAATGCTTAACAATTGGCTCTCAAAAATGTAAAACAACCCATTGTTTAGTTGTCTACATTATTAAAATTTTCTACATCACGTTTTAAAGTCTAGACAATCAGCAAAACAATATATCAAGGTCCGATTTGCAGTGTTTGCTGAGTTGCCAGGTGCAAATGCTTACCTTGAAAATTTAATAATCACCTCTTGTGAGCCAGTAGGAGCTGGTTTCATCACCTCCTGAAATTCATGAATAAAATATATATGTATGTGTGTATATATATATATATATATATACATGCACTAGATACCATAATGTATACTATATTTGATGACTTCATAGTCTTCCAACTCTAAATTCTGTGATGTTGATCCTATGATATAAAGGAATATAAATGCAAGAAAATATTTCTAAAAACTATAACCAGGTGCTTGTCCTGGTCAAATAACCACAGACCTGATATGTTACTGGTATGACATTTTCCCCCCACTGTGAATAAATGAGGCTTAACTGGTAATAAGAATCCTAATGAATATATTGCAATGGTCTGAGAGTTGGGGTGGGGGGGGAAACAGGCACATAGCCAAAAAGACTCTATGTTTTGTTACTGGGTTTCAGTATTTAATTTTATTTCTTACTCTGTCAACAAGCAAAGGTTATGTGCTTTGTGTATCCCTAAATGTCTCTCCATTCTGTACATTTCATTGAGTGTTATAGATAGCAACCCATGTATGGATAAGAGTCTTCTCCTTGACTTCCCATAAATTGGCCCAAGGGGTCCACTCAAACCCAAGGGGATTTTCATTCTCTTGACATTGCAAGGATATGAGTAGAGCATATGGGCCTTCCAACAGGTATCCCTCCCTCTCACCACATGACAAGCCCCTCTTCTTTTCCAACAGCACATCCATTTTTTTTGCTATATATTATTTTGTTTCTTCTTCATAAGGTGTTGCAGTCTGATTACACCCAAAATATCCCTTGCTATTGTCCCGAGTGATACTTATTGTTAATTCTCAGACACTGATACAGTAAAATTACTGATATTTACAAAGTACTTTAATGGTTGCAAAGCTCTTTACATTCATTTTCTTTAATCATCACAATATACCTGTGAGTTGGTATAAATCCAGATAGGGAAGCTAAACTAAGAGAGATTAAGAAACTTGCTTAGGGTCACACTGCTATTTGAGGCAGACTTTGAACTTACATCCTCCTGGCCCCAAGTCTAGTCAGCTAGGTAGTAGAGAGCTGGACCTGGAGTCAGGAAAACCTGAGTTCAAATCCTGCCTAAGACACTTAACCTCTGTTTGTAAAAAGGAGATAATAAGAACACTTACCTCCCAGGGTTGTTGTGAGGATCAAATGAGATAATAATTGTAAAGTGTTTAGCAGTGTGCCAGGCACCATAAACATTATATAAATGTTAGCTATTATTATTAATAATTGTTAATAACATCATCATTGTTGTTATTATTATTATCCACTACACTATCTAGTTGACTAGTGTTCTATCACTTTCATAACTAATGGAATATTGGTATTAATCTTGGAGAAAAGTGTGAGTCATTAAATAGTCTCTATAGTTTCCTACAGACAATCCAATCTATTTTCTTTTCCTCCTATTTAATTCTGGTCCCAAATCTGTATCCAATGCCAATTTCTGTCGAAGGTAAAGATAACTAATGGACAACTCTATAAATGATCCATTTAACTTAACACCATAGTCTGTATAATAGACATTCTTCATTGAGTTGTTTGTTGGTTTGTTTTTATCGTATGTACAGTTAGGACAAATAGTTTTTGGTGGTTATGGCTCTTGCTATGCTTCTGGTCTTGGATCAGCCAGCACAATATCATCCACAGACAAGAACACCATTTATAAAGAGCTCTTCTTTGTTTACAGTAGGCACTTGATCACTTTTAATTGAATTCAATTTTTTAGTTATTGAGTAATACAAAACAGAGTTTCTGCTGTCAAGTGATTTACATCTGATGAGGTAATAGGATACATATTCTGGAAATGAGTGAGTAGTATAAATAAAGTATGAATTGTGTGATTCAGATCCCAAGTGCTTTAGAAGTTCAGAGCATGTGGAAGAGGCATTGTGGTCTAGTGCCATGTAAAGATAACAGGTCTTAGAGTTAGTACACCTGAGTTTAGTCCTATCTCATGTATTTCCTAGCTGTGAGATCATGTTTAAATAACTTAGATTCTCTGAGTCGGTTTTCACATCTGTACAATGAGGATGGCAATACCTGCACTACATACCTCGAAGGCTTGCTGTGATCAAACTCATGGGTAAAACTTGAATTGCTGTATAAATCTGAGTTATTGTTTGTTGTTTTCATGTTCATTCCTATCCTCCGCCATCTCATTCTTATCTATCTTTTTTGACGGAGTTCAGATAAGAACTACTCTGGAAGAACACACTATGCTACTTTTACTCTTTTCTACTTAACGTTTTTCATTCTGTTGCACAGGAAGATAAAATAACTGCTTTTTTGTCATTAAATACACATATTGCAATATAAACTCATCTTATGCAGACTCTTTGAAAGTGTGTTCAGGGCAATTCCAGTAGCAGATTGTTGTTTTTCTTCTTAAGAATTGGGACTGGTATATTCAGGGAGGATGTCATTGGACCTGCACTGTACTGGAAGGATGGGTAAAATTTGGGTCATTGGAAGAAAACTCAAGAGAATTCTAAGAGAGAAAAAAATGGCATTATCAATATGACTCAAAGGCAGGAAAATCCTATAATTGGTTATATTTTTCAACTATAACTTGCAATGACTTTTTGTGTTTCTTAAATAAGTTCAATCCAAAGTAGAAATGAGACCAACCTAGGAGAAATCCATGAAGATGTAAAAGGTGACTTAATGATTTATATGCAGTTCAAACTCAGTCATTCTTTGTGCTTATATCCCTTGTGCCTGGCACATAGTAGATGTTTAATAAATATCTGGAGGTTTTTTGAATTGAATTTGATAATATTTCCTGACAAAAATGAGTGTGTTGCCTGAGTGGGATACTAAATCATATTCTCTTTGAGAAAGTCTGTCACAGTCTCCTTATTCATGTCTCTTTCCTTCCAGACACGCATGCCCAAGTAAGCCTTCTTCAAAACCTGAAGAAAGCCAACTACAATCTACCTGTCATGGTGACGGACTCGGGCAAGCCACCTTTGTCTAACACCACGGAGCTCAGAGTGCAAGTTTGTTCCTGTAAGAAATCTAAAATGGACTGCAGCTCAGCTGGGATCCCACATATCAGAACCACCTTAGTACTGCTTCTTTCACTCTTCAGCTTAGTATGTAAGTTGAGCCTAAGCCATGGGAAAATGCCATTTGTTATGTGTTCATGGGAGTCATTTCCATGTATTTTTTCCAAAAACACATATTCTTGGTGAGATACTTCTTAAGTGGAATCTATATGTCCATGAACAAATGCTTAGAGGTTGAAGTTGGAGGCCATTCCCCAATGGTTGATTGCTGGCCATTCTGTCCATGGTGCAAAAATTACTCATCAAAATCACTCAAAGAAGTGAGAAAATGAGCTAGTGTTGATGAGAGCAGTCTTAGGCAGGGAAGAGATACATAAAAAGCCACTCATAGGAAAAACAAAAGAGAAGATGCATGAAGGAACATAATAGAGAAGAGAGTATGTGTGGAGATAATAGAAGAAAAGACTTGGGAGGAGACACAGAGAGAAGACTTAGGGAAGATATGCCAGAGAAGAGAAATAATGGGGAAATAACTTGGGGAAATAATGAAGATTTAGGAGTCATAATATGTGGATAAAATTTTGGGGTGACAAGAGAAGAGACAAATGGGTCAGAGACCTTGCAACTGACTGTGACCTTAGCTAATCAAGTCCCCTTTTCTCTCTGGTATCAGTTTTCTCAACTGTTAAAAGAAAAAAAAAAAGGAAGTTGGACTATATGTCCCCTAAAGATCCTTCTACCCTTAGCTCTATGATCCTGTGTAGGAAAAAAAAAAAAGAAAGAAAAAAGAAAAATTGAGAGTACGTAATGGATGAGAAGAAAAGGGTTGGAATGGGGCTGATATACAGTTTAAAAAAAAAGCTTAAGGAGCCTATGATGAAGAGGAGAAATCATAAAGGACATATAAAAGAAAAGAGTTAAGGATTATGTAATGGAGAAGGTTTGGGAGGAGAGATGCCAAAGAATTCTTATGGGAGGGTTCTATCAAGACTGAAGAAGATATTGGAAAAAAGAATGCCTGGTAGGACTCATGATAGTTGTGACAAAATTGTGTCTGTGTTTGAAAACTCAGGTCAAAGAGCAAAGCCCTGGAAGGTTATAAGTAAAAATATGAGGGTGTACTAGATCTCTCTTACCTTATCCATTTGATAATTAGGCCCTCCACCCCACCCAAGTCCACTTCACAGCTGTAGTGGCTACAGGCCTGAGCTTACCCTAGAAGCCTGGCTGATAATTGAAAATCAGCTGTTGCCTCTGGCTAAAATCAGGAGCTCTAGAAGACCAAGGCTGGGTAGACCAGGTTGCCACAAACAGTACTAGGACTGAGTGCAAGGGTCTATGCCCTCCTGTTACTTCCCCAGGAGTAAAAGGACAAGGAGAGTGATACTACCTGAATGAAAGAATCTGTTACCCAGATCTCAGAATCCTGTCGGCTGTGAGTTTTCTAGTGCCCATCCTTGGAAGCATCAGTTTTCAAGGGACTCAGGATATCTCAACCACTCTAAAAGTTGCTGTTATTTGACTTAGGTACACAGTGATCTAAATTGACCATGAATGCATCTGAGAATACCAGAGTGCCCCAGTTGTTCCTGTGTTGTTGTTGTTGTAGTTGTTGTTGTTTTAACCCAATGGTTTTCATTCCATAAACACAGCCTGTCTTTCCTCTAAATTGTCTGAATACTGATTGCAATTATTATTTAAATTTGCCCTAGGTCCTGCATTAGAAAAAGCTTTTAGTTCAAGCAGCAAAAGTGGTTTATAGTCCTTGTTTTGGGTCAAAGTGATCCTCTAGGCCTACATCCACTTTAAGCCAGTTCACTAAAGGGTTTGGGCAGTGGCAGTCACAGCAGTGATTATGCAGGAAATGAGAAATGCAGTGGGTGGGAAGAAATTACCTGAATTCAATGATTCCTGACTGCAGTGGAATTAATTTGTCAAACTGAGTGTGAAGAGGCTCAGGTGTGGGGGAACAAAGATGTGCCCTGTGCTGAAAACAAGCTTCAGCCTAGGCATTAACCCATCCTCATTTCCCTGGCCTTTTCTTTGGAAAGGAGTGCAACACCCCCCTTCCTCCACTCACCCCATCAAACCACCTAGTTTATTTTCCCTTAACATTTTACAAATGTAGTGCCGCAAACAACAGACTCCAAACCATGGAAGCAAGCCAATTTGGAGTTTAAAGGTAAATTGGCATTTTCAACAACTCACAAAGCAAAGCATACAGGCTTGGCTGCATCACCACAGGTGGTCCTAAGACATGTAGGGATTGACAAGATCACATGGAATAAATGGAAGGCCCACGCTGTTAGACTTTGAATTTCATTATTTCTTTGGAATTTGATTATCAGGCTTTCAGAATTCATTCAACAAGTAGTTATGAAGCAGCCACTATATTCACAGAATACTATATTTGACACATTGGGAAGTGTATTTTTTTTGGGGGGGGATGTGACAAAAGTTTTGTTTTGGTCATACAAATATAGATTATGATGATAGCCACAACACGGCTATGGGATGATAGCATAAAATAGTAATTTCCTCCATAAAACACAGAACTCTAAAATAGAGATGGGGGACCTTTTCAATTGTTTTATGTATCCTGCCCCAACCACCCTGCTGACCTCCAATCTCACATCTCCAGTATCTAGATGCCTAACTCAACATGTCCAAAACTGAGTTCATTATTTTTATCCCCTAAAACCTCCTTTCAAATATTCCTCTTACAGTTGAGGATAGGATCATCCTCCCAGTCCCCCAGACTCACAACCTATGTGTTATACTCAAATCCTTACTATCACTCAACCCCTATATCCTGTCAGTTGCTAAGACCTGTCAATTTCAGCTTTGCAACATCTTTTGAATAAACCCTGTTCCCTCCTCTGATACTGCCACCACTCTGGTGCTGATTCTTATCATCTCATTCCCGAATTATTCTAATAGCCTGCTGGTTGGTTTGCCTGCCACAAGTCTCCAATCCATCCTCCATTCAGCCAGTAGAGTGATTCTCCTAAAGCATTGGTTGGATTGACTATAATCTTCCCTAAATAAATATACTCCAATGTTTCCCTATCACCTCCAAGATCAAAAACAAAATTCTGTTTCTCATTCAAAGACCTTCACAACCTGGGCCTCCCCCACCCCCATCACCTTTCTAGTCTTCTTGTATCTTATATCTCCTCCCTTCTACCCCAGGTTTTCTGCCTTTTGAAGGAAGCTTCAACTCTCAGCTAAAATTCTACCTTTTCTGTTGAAAACCTTCCCTAATCCCTTTTAATTATAGCCCCTTTCCTTTGGTACTTATTTAAGATTTATCCTGTGTATAACTTGTTTACACATATTTATTTGCTGGTTATCTCCTCCATTAGATTGTGAGCACCTTGAGGGCAAGGATTTTCTTTTGCCTCTTTTTTTATCCCCAGCACTTGGTACAGTGCCTGGGGCATAGTAGGTTCTTAATAAATGCTAATTGACTGAATATTTTCTGAATCCTAGGGAACTTATTCTCCTTCCACTCAATCCAGACTGGGCTTGCCGTGAGTATACAGGATAGCCTCTAGGAATACTTGAAAAGCCATGAGTAATGCTGAATGAATACTACACGATGAAAACAGAATTTAGTTGGTTTTTTTTTTGTTTGTCTGTCTGTTTGTTTGTTTGTTTTTAGTTGTGGTTGGTTAAGAGGAAAATCCAGAGGAGGAAAAGAAGAGAAAAATGACACACCAAGAAAACAGTGTGATATAGACAGATGGGGAGTAATGGATGTTCCTTAGGCTTTAAACTAATTTGCTTGTGTCACATCTTTATATTGATCAAGACTTGGGCACAGGATAAAATATAACATGCTTTTTCTATGCCCTGAAATGTTCTTTTGTTCTCCAAATTAGAATAAATCTTTCCACACTGAAAAATAGTATGTTTTTTTCCTTCAAATTTCAAGTTAATTTTTGAAAAAAAAATCATTTTTCCACCAAATTCTAAAGGTTTTCCTCTTATAAAAGGAAAGACTTAAGTTTGAAATTTTTAAAGAACTTTAGAGATATTTTTCAAATTACTAACTCTACTTGAAGGAAAGTCTTCTTGACATGTAAAAGTTGCTGAATTATTTTAGCTTTGTTCTTTGAGAGATCTAGGCTGGTTGTCTTATGCTACAAGAAATGTCTTATGCTATATGAAAGCTAAACTTGGGAAGCAAGTTTTTGATTCATCATTCTGTTCGTTACAATCTCTTTCAAAAAAAAGAAGAAAGAAAAATAAATTTCAGTGTTTTGGCCTAATTGGTTCCTCCTTGTGGAAATAATATAAATTCAGAGGGTGGGAGGCAGGAGGGATACTCTGCAGACATGAATGGGTTGCATGAGCTTTTGACACCTAGTGATAGATGCTGACTTAATGAGTTTTGTGTTATACTCTTTATAATCTCAGATTTGGAATGTCATTGAAAGATTCTTAATAAGAATAAAAATATCAAAGAGAATTCTCTTTAAAAAGAGACTATTAAAGGAATTCTTCTGCAGTTCATAAATTGAGAGTAGGGAAAGAGACAATTTTTTTTTTATAAGTTAAAAGAATAATAGCACTTGAAATGCCCCAGATAACCAAATAGGTAAGACCCTATGTCTTTGAGTAGTTTTAAGATGACTAAGCAGTCTGAACGGTCATCCAGATCATTCATTGCTCAGACAAACAATAGTTGATTAAACAATTGTTTAAATCATTTGTCATCCATTCAGGAGTAGATCAACAATTGATTAGCTGTGAGATATATGATAAATAAGCAGCCATGAAGACCTGAACTAAGTCTCCATTTGCATTAATGAATCTACTAAAAGCTACATAGCCTTAATGTTGCAATTTAAATCTGTTCTTACTTTCTGTCCTAAAATGATTTCTTTATCTTAATAATTGCACAAAGAAGCAGCCTGGTATATGGGATAAAGTGGTGGTTTTGGTATTAGGGAGACCAGCATTCAAACTGTCTCTGATATTTGAAACCAGCTCTTTACCCTTGGCAAGTCACAAAATAATATTTGAGAGTTGGAAGAGTCCTCAGAGACAATCTAGTTCAACCTACAAAAGAATAAATCCCTACTA